AATCTAAAGCTTGATTTTGCTGGATATAAGACTCTTGGTTGACATTCATTTTCTTTCAGAGGTTGATGTGTGTTATTTGTTTTAATTAGTTATATATGACAGTAGAATGCATATGCACTTTGATATTCATATATAGATGGGGTATAATTTCTCATTTTTCTGAGGGTACATGCTGAGGAATCATATTGGTCATTTACTCACAAATATACATAAAGTAATAATGTCTGTTTCATTCTACTATCTTTCCTATCCCCATATTCTCTCCTCTTCCCTCCCACCACTTCCCTCTAACCTAATCTAAGGTAATGCTATTCTTCCCTAGTGCCTCCTGCCTTATTGTGAATTAGCATCCTCATATTAGAGAAAACATTTGGCCTTTGGTTTTGTGAGATTGGCTTATTTCGCTTAGCATGATATTCTCAAACTCCAACCATTTACTGGCAAATGCCATAATTTTTCTCTTCTTTAAAGCTGAGTAATATTCCATTGAGTATATATACCACATTTTCTTTATCCATTTATCTATTGAAGACACCTAGGTTGGTTCCATAGTCTAGCTATTGTGAATTGAGCTGCTATAAACATTGATGTGGCTGTGTTCCTGTAGAATGTTGATTTTAAGTCCTTTGGGTATAAACTAAGGAATGAGATAGCTGGGTAAAAAGGTGGTTCCATTTCCAGTTTTCTGAGGAATCTCCATTCTGCTTTCCATAGTGGTTGCACCAATTTGCAGTTCTACCAGCAATGTATAAGTGTACCTTTTTCACCACATCCTCACCAACATTTATTGTCACCTGTATTCTTGATGATTACCATTCTGACAGGAGTGAAATAAAATCTTAGAATAGTTTTGATTTGCATTTCTCTAATTGCTAGAGATGTTGAGCACTTTCATATATTTGTTAATCAATTGTATTTCTTTTTCTGTGAAGTGTCTATTCAGTTTCTTAACACATTTATTGATTGAGTTACTTGTTTTTTTGGTGTTAAGTTTTTTTGAGTTCTCTAAAGAGCCTAAAGATTAATGCTTTATTGAAAGTGAATGTGGTAAAGAGTTTCTCCAAATTTGTAGGCTCTCCCCTCAATTTATTGTTTTCTTTGCTGAAAAGAATCTTTTTAATTTGAATCCATCCCATTTATTGATTCTTGATTTTACTTCTTGCGCTTTAGGAGTCTTGTTAAGGAAGTCAGATCCTAGACTGATGTCGTGAAGATTTGGGCCTATTTTTTCTTCTATTAGGCACAGGTTCTCTGTTCTAGTGCCTAAGTCTTTAATTCTCTTTGAATTTATTTTTGTTCAGAGTGATAAATAGAGGTTTAATTTCATTTTGCTGCATATGTATTTGCTCTTAAGATGGAGAAAAACTTCCTAATGTGACCTAATGTGATCTTGCATGATTTAGGTGCTTGTTACCTCTCCAGCCTCATCCACCAAATGCTCCTAGTCAATGTAGAAAGGTACCTGTACCTCCTATATGATCCCCTCATAGCAATATGAGGGTCTTTTTCTCTTCTTTCTGAAACATCTTTTCTCTGAAAAGCATGAAAACAATTAATTGCCTACTCATTCTTATACATCCAATTGAGAGTAAGTAATGAAGAAGCTTGGCAAGCTCTCTGAGAATCATCTAAACATGACTAACAAATGTGCAATTTCTCCTTTTTTTTAGTATTTGATTAACAGTGATCTTTACTATTGTTCTGTGTGCTCCTTAAAGGGCACAGCTGCTTACCAGTAAAAATCTGTTTACAAAAATAGAGGACATGTTGTTCTATTGTTTTAAAACCTCTGGGTCATAGGTTACTGGCCCCTTGCTACACCCCCCAGAATTTATCCATATGCTTCCCAAGATCCATGGGCTGAAGTCTGAGAAACTCAGCCCTATCTTGCTGTTTGTTCTCTCCTAGAACATTATCATAACTCTTAGAGGATGCTTAAAATGAAGGAAATATATCACCTAAGATATTAGATAGGAAGGAGGAAGTGGAGTTGATAATTCTCGTGGCTAAGGTGCTTTGGTGCTGATAATCTATGAGTTTCACTGGGAGGAAGCTATGCCCATTCACTTATACATCCACCACTGCTGTGTTTCTGCTAAAACAGCAGAGTTGAACAGAATTTATGATTTCAAAGTCTAAAATAAATTTATTATTTTCCTGATTAGAGAAAAATGTAAACAAATATGAGGGGGTTTTTTTGGATTTGGAGTTTCTGTTTGGTGACAAAAATATTTTGTAATATTTAATTTCTTTGATTTACCTATATTAATTGGGTTAATTAATAGGTTGATGTGGGGGCACTGCCTGCCCATAGGCTGAGCATCCTCTCTCAACCTGAGTAAGGGTGGTGTCTGGTCTGGCATTGCACACCAAGCACTGTGTGAAGCAAGTGGCCTCCATCTTCTATAGACAAAGAAGTTCACTCTACCTCTGAACTTGGGTGTTATCCAATGGAATTGGACAACCACCCTTTGAAACCGTATCCCCTGACTTATTTGATGAAGAATATTTCATTAAGCTAAGTGTCCCCCCTATAAAAATAAAAAGATTCTGGGTACAGCCTTTCTTGACTTCCAGTATGGAAAAGGACCCTTGAGGTCGCAGTGCAGTCCCGTCCTCGATCTGAGAAACTCATGTCAGTGTGTTGCGTGATTTTTTCACTGTTTTCTTAGTTTAAGGTTGCAGCCAGCTCCTTTGAACTCAGTTCATCTCATCAGTGGGGGTAGCTGGCAAGAGGTTGAGTTTGATCATTCTTTATATGACACAGTGTGCACTGATCAAATTCTGTCATCCTTTAATGATACTTTCCACCCTTTTCTCAATCTCTAGTAATTACTACCCTGCTTTCAGGTAAACTTTTTAGACTTCCACACATGAGAGAAAACATGCAGTACTTGTTTTTCTGTGTATAATTCATTTTACTTAAAGTAATATATATATTATTT